CAGAGAGAGAAGCGTAGAGATTAATTACCTTCTTCGGAGGTGGTTGGGGGGTATTTATAGCCCCAAGTGCTGACATGTATCTGCACATGTAAGCCTCTCATTGGCCCACGTGGTGCTGCCCATGTGTGTATGTCTCCTTCTCTTGGGCCTGTGGGTGCGTAGTTGGGCCTGTTGCATGTGGCCCTAAGAGGGCGTTGGGCCTAATCCCAACATTACTCCCCCCTCGGTGTTCGGTTGACGAACTGGGTTGGGAGTCTTGTTAGCACGGTTTTTGACCCTGAGGATGAGGAGTGATGTTTTATGTTCATGTCCGCCCTCACGCAGGACCGATCTAGGCGGCCTGAAGCCATCGCGGCCAAGTCTGTTGTGCATGTGTATGCCGGCTTCCTATCGAGCAGGCGTGGGGGAGCTGGTGTTAAAACCAGGCGAGCTCAGTGCATGTGTTTTGGGCCATAACTGAGGTAAAAATGCATGACACAGAGTCATGTGTTATAGCCGTAACTGAAGTTAAATAGGACTCGGGGTCACTGTGGCCAGAGTCGAAGTAAAGTATGTGACTCGGGGTCACTATGGCCGGAGCCGAAGTAAAATATGTGACTCGGGGTCACTAAACCAAGAAGCTCGGTAATGATGACCTGGAAGCAGGAAGCTCATTAGTGACGACCTGAAACCAGGAAGCTTGGTAGTGACGACCTGGAACCAGGAAGCTCAGTAGTGACGACCTGGAACCAGGAAGCTCAGGTGTGACGACCTGGAACCAGGAAGCTCAGGTGTGACGACCTGAAACTAGGAAGCTCAGTAGTGACGACCTGGAAGTAGGAAACTCAGGTGTGACGACCTGGAAGCAGGAAGCTCAAGAGTGACGACCTGAAACCAAGAAGCTCGGTTGTGACGACCTGGAAAACCAGGAAGCTCAGGTGTGACGACCTGAAACCAGGAAGCTCAGGTGTGACGACCTGGACGCAGGAAGCTCAGGTGGGTTTCAACTCCTAATTCTTCATTAGAGTTTACCCATGTGGGGTCTTAGTTGTAATTCTTTGTGGGAGCCCACTCATGTAAGGTCTCAGCTCGTCGTTCTTCATTGGAGGTTGTCAGCTCGTCATTCTTTGTTGGAGCTTTGTGAGTTCATCGTTCATGACCGGTCTCGCGGATGGCCGATCTGGGCAGCAAGAAACCACCTATAGAGCAGGCGAGAGCACGCTGGTGGTCCGGCAAGGCGAGCTCAGCCCGATTAGCGAGCTGAGCAAATGCGCGGACGATCTCGCCTGAGTGAGCTAGCGTATAGTGAACGAGCTGAAGAAGCTCACCCGTACAGGTTGATATGGGTGATCTGGTTTGTAACGATCTGACCAAGTTTGAGATCTCTGGATAGACCGTGGGCCAGCAACGGGCAGGTTTCTCAAACTGTTCAAATTTTGTTACGAGCTGGTAGAAATCTCTGCTGAGATCCTGAATTAGTTACGAGCTGGTCGAAATATCTGGAAAGATCACGAGCAGGTACGAGCTGATTTCTTGACCTTTTCAAATTTTGACTTAAGACAGATCTCTGAGGAAATTTTGTTACGAGCTGGTCCTTGGCCACTTTTTAAATTTCAAACCTGCGAAATCTCTAAAGAGATTTGGTTCAGAGCGGTTAGTATTCTCAATCTCCCCCTAATAAATGCTGGCTCGTCGTTTGAAGAGACGTGACAGCTAAAGCCGGCGGACGTTACACGCCCAGCAATAAGTGCTTGCCACGTGTAACGTTTTGACTTGTTGGCAGAGAGGCGCGTACGGCAGTGCTAGGCACGGTCACGTAACCTCTCTGTTACCTTTGTTTCCATTTTCCAGTTCCATATTTTCTGTATTCTTCTGCAGCAAAGGACCTTCACAGTTTTCAGGCGATCTTCTCAAGGAGTTTCAGTACCAATTTTTCAGGTAATAAAAAATGGAATTTGTTAGTGAAGTAGGAGAACTCCGGGGTAACCAGGGCATGGACGGGGAAGAGAACGTGATGGCAGTAGAACCCATTACCATGATTGTACCACCGGAACTGCAAGACGTGTCGGAAACCCCTACGGCGGAGGGCAGTGCCAGTTCAGGGGCGCATGAGGATTCCGGTGCTAACCCCTCTCCGTCATCTGAAGGGTCGTCATCAGAAGACACTGCTAGTGCAAGTAGCACCTCGCTGGAAAGTATGGAAGTGGCCGTAAACGTACCTCCGGTTGCAGGCTGGGAAAACAAAACCATAGGTGGTAGGTTAAGCAACCTCCGCAAGGCGCCGAATACATTGACGGCCGGATTTCGGTTTCGGGCGAACCTGCATCATGAGGTAGCAGATTGTCCTACCTCCATTAAAGGGTACAAGAGGCTGGAGGAGGTAGTGAGACGATACCACGTTCCTAGGACAGTTTTGTTACGAACAGGGACCAAAAATGAAAGGGCCTGCAGTGTGTCAGCAACAGGGTGGATACCTGTATATGTGGACCATTTCGACGCCGGCCTGAGGTTTCCTTTATCCGGGCTGATTTTCGACATTTTGTCAGAGTACGAACTGGCGCTCACACAGTTGACTCCCAACAGTATAAAATTCATCGTAGGGTTTATGTTGCTGTGTGCACGGCTGCAGATACCTGCGAAGGCCATTGTTTTCAGGTCGCTATTTTTGTGCCGGCTGAGCAGTGCACAGACGAGGTGGTACTACATTTCTGGACGAGAGAAAATGGCCATCTTCAAGAACATAAGGAATAAGGTGTCTCGTTGGAAGAGACAGTTTATATTTGTCTGGGATACGCGAGCAGAGAGGGTTAGCACCGATCTGGCAGCTCGTCTATCTGAGTGGCGCCCAGGGCATGCGTACATGAATTACCCCACCTTAACCCCAGGCGACCTGGAGCTTAGGGATAGGATCACTAATTATGTGAAGGGAGGGGGGTTAGTTGATTTGGAAGCCCTGGTTACCCCTGAGGTGCTCACTTTGCGTGGGTTTGTGGATATCCCGAACCTGTTTAGTGAAGGTATATCTCTATTGTCGATTACTTTTTCCACGAGCTGAGTCTTATTGCACGTGTTTGTGCAGGAGAGATGAGTAGCATGCTTGAGAGACAACGGGAGCGAGCTCAGCGTTCTCGTGGCAGGGGAACTGGGTCTGGCGCGAGGAGGCAAACGCGCTTTGACGAGCTACCACCTGCAGCACCTCGCAGCTCGGCGCAGAGGGAACAGGGCTCCAGCTCGGTCTCGCGGCCAGCGGCTGAGCGCAGGGTAGAGCCCACACCAGCTGATGTACGGAGGCGTGCCCGCGACGAGTCCGATGCTGAGGATGACGTACCATTAATCCGGCGCAGGTTGGATTCCGGGAGACAACCTGGCGTGGTGCGTTCACCTGAGGCGCCC